CAGGACATAGACGAGGCTCCAGTCTTGTAGGTTCCAAGCTATTTAGTGCTTTCTAGAGGTTAAAGTCCCAGATCCAAAACTCTCAATTCTGTTTAATTGGTGATGAGAACAAAGTCAGCAACCTTAAATTCAAGTTTTGAGATGAAAGCTACAGGGTATTTTGGGGGTGGGGCAAGATATTTGTTTGGGGAGAAATGTGGTTAAGTCTGATTCAATAGTTTGCAATGTACAGGCTCCCACTAAATCCTGCAGGTTGATGGAATAAATTCACAGTTCATTTAATTTCAGGTGATGTGCTGGTAACTATTTCTTTAAAAGAAATGTTTCAAAAAAGAGGAGAGTGCTGAAATGAAAACTTGTCTTTAATCTGCTTTGAAGGCTTATATTATCCTGCGGGTGATGATCAACCCTCTGCCATTATTTCTTTATTACATTCCAAATGTACGGCTCTCCCGTGGCTATAAACTTATGAGGAAGGTGGGGGTGTGATAGCAAATCTGGATTAATATTAAAACATTTTCAATCAGAGCTTTTTTTTTTATTCCAAGGCAGATGAATACTTGAGAAAGCATCAAAAGCACCCATCTAAATATGAAAAAAACACATATTAATGTCATCTTTGTGTGAGCAAAATGTCTGTGTAACGCAGAACAATATCGTGGAAAACAATGTGCAAACTCTTTGCTTCTACAAAAATGCAAATCTGGGGATGTTTCTATCAGAGTTTCTTGCACTCCGTAGGCTGTGACAGGTTCTGATGTCCGGGGCGGGGGGGGGGGGGAGGAGGAAGGAGTGGAGTGCAAAGGAGTTTTGATTTTTGTAAAAAAATAAAAATAAAAAAGCTTTGTGCATCTGTGTCTTGCCCCTTTCTAAAAATTTTTTTATTGGTGTGTGTTTTTCTTTTTGTAAATCTACCATAAAATAAAATAAAATTAAAAAATAAAATAAAATAAAGATTAACAGGTTTTCTCAGAACAGTGGAGAGCATGTATGCTGTGCCCGGTTGGCATAGTGGTGGTAGCACATGCCCTTGTTCTAACGAATCATATAGGAAATGCTCTGCATGGGCGGGGGGGGGGGGAGGGAGACAAAAACGGAGGTCAAGGAAGGTCATTTGTGTGCCAAGGCCACAAAGTTCCCAGTAAAACAGTAAAACACATGGACACAAAGTATTTTGATTTCTGGGTTCAAATACGCCACAACTTTATTAGTTACAAATGTGAGCGGTTTGGCTTAGGCATTGGAGTGAAGCCAGGGTAGCTCTTCTTTTTAATTATTATTAAAGATTTCAACACAATAGTTTAACAAAAATACACCATCCACATTATTTCCCCCCTCCACCCCCCCAATAGACCATCCTCCCTCCCACCCCACCCCGGACTTCCCTCAGCTCCTTTCTCTGGTTTCTCAAGCCAGGGTACATCTTGACTCCTGCCCATCTGCAGGGAGTCCACTTAAGGGTAATCCACCGATAGGGGCGCCCTGTGACTTACATCAAAGAGAGGGTGCTGGCCGGCCACGACGCAGTTAAATAGTCTGCGGCTACACCCACACTGAGAGCTGATTGGCTGGGGCTGTCCCACAAGGACAGAACCCAGCAACAACAACAACGCAGCCTGCGTGATGCAGGGAGGAGGCAGCCCCAATGGGAAAAGCTGAGTGGACTTGGGGGTGAATGAGAAATATCCCTATTTTCATCTGAGGAAAGTTGGAGGGTAACTAGGGTTATCCAATCTACACCAGCTATTCTTGAGCATTTGCATCACTCTTCCATCGTGCCTCAAAACAGCTGCAGCCAAGAGCCCTTGCCACACACCTACAAAACTAAATTATTCTGCTATGTATGTGAAATGATTTCCATTTTTAAGCTTCCTTGGGAGCTCTGAAAGGTGGTCCACATGTACTTAGAATGAATGAATGGATGGATAAATAAGTCTATTGTGAGATAGGCTGTACACCCCATTGGCAGCTGCACAATTCACTGTCCTTTAAAAACCTGAAAAAAGGAATTATACAAATGTCAAAACAAAACAAAACTTTATTCAACCATTCTTGCCCAGCAGAATTAGGGATGCTTCAGTTCTCTGCAGACACACATTTCCATGGAGGCAGACTCAGGGTCCCCAGGGAGTTATTACTTCGCATTACACGGAAAATCTCTGAACCCCTTCATCGTAATGGAAAAATCTTTCACAATGGATAGTTTGTGACTTTATGAGGGAAGAAGCTTGGCGTGCTATCTATTTCCCAAAGCAATCCCAATAAATTGACCCTACTGAAAACATTTAAAAGTTTGGCAGGGCAGGATGGAAACTAGATCTCCAGAAAATTATGAACCCCTCACCCCTTTTGCTTTCGTAATGCTTCAAGAACACTTTGTGCCAGCTCTCAAGTCCAGCTCCTCCTCATAAGCCTACAGCTGATGTGAACCAACTCAGAAACAAAATGGTAAAGATATTTTTTATCAAAGTGCTTGCTGGGTGCACAGAAATTTATGGTTGTTCACATTTTTCAGAGATTTAAAAGTGACAAAGTTGAAAAACAAAATTTTCTCCAGATTTAGGAGACTTTAAAAAGGAAAAGCTTCATTGATTCCGTGTTAGAGATTTCAAATCTGGAAATGTCCAAAAGGAAGCAAACCTTGATTAAGACTGCAAAAGGTGTTTTACTTCCCAGTTGTGAATTCTGGAACAAGGATTTGGCAGAAAAATCCAAACTTCTCCAAAGTGGGAGAAAAGGGGGTGGAGAGTTCAGGGGGTTGGACTCGATGGCCCTTGTGGTCTCTTCCAACTCTATGATTCTATGAGTCACTTGGGGCAATGCCATAATTCCATGAGGCTGCATTCCCTAGCCTCTCTCTGTAAATATTGAATATAAAGCAAATGGTAAGCAGGGCCATCTTACCCATAGGCGCTAGGGGTGCAGGACACCCGGGCGCCGGGCTCTCAGGGGCACCATGCCGAGAATCTGGGGCCCGAGAGTTGAGTCCGGGGGAAAGCCTTACCATTGGTTGGAGCGCCGCAGAGGGCTCTTCTACTGCTAGCGGCTCTGTGCCATGAGTTTCGGGGGCGACCGAGGCAGCGAGACACTGAGGCGGCTGGCCGGCTCCGTCCTCCTGTGTGCCTGGGACTGGGCAATCTGGGGGGTGGGGTGCCGGGCGGATCTTTGCACCCCGGCACCGCAAATGCTTAAGACAGCCCTGATGGTAAGAACTTTTCCTTGTCTTATCCGTTCCTGGCAACCTGCCATGGGGTTTGGTTCTCTGCCACCTGACAATGGGCTCCCATACTGTTGCTCCACAGGAAAAGGCAGATATCCACCTACGGTAGAAAATACTTCACAGTGGTAGCTAACTAGGTCCATATCGTGCATGATAACGTGCTGCTGAACACAGTGCAGTTAATTTATTGAGTTCACTATTGCAAGATGCAGTGATGGCCCCCAACTCAGATAGCTTGGGAAGGGGCTTAGACAAATTAATGGAAGAGAAGGCGATCAATTGCTGCTAGTCACAATGCTCTGTGTGTCCCGGTCAATGCCAACCCCTGTCATTTGGCCTAACCAAACCCATCCTTTTAAAAATTGTTTATAATAAACACTGGTTATTTATAGTTGTCTGATTACAAATTAAGGACCTCACTTTCAGCTATAACTGCTCCTGAGGAACAGTCATGTACAGCCTGGATGTCTGAAAGAGCCCTGCCAGAAGGCAAGTTTTTAACCGTTTTTATTTGCAAAGATGCAAATTCCCAAGCCGATCTGCACACACAAGTCACTCTTAAACTTGACAGCCGTGCAGCTCTTTCCCTGCTATCTTTCGTTTTTTGCATGTGAAATGTTTTGGCTCAGACTGTAGTCTCTGGGTAGGTATGATAACCACAATTCTGGGCATTTCTTTCAAAGGAATGATTGATATTTGCCTCGGAGTGTCTGCGACTCTGTTATCAGTGGCTTTATTTATTCAGGAACTCAGCTCCAATCACTTCATTTTGAATGAGCTGCTGACAATATGGAAAGAAAGACAGCATCTCCCAAGGGGAAAAGAAAGGAAAGTTATATGCAGAAATTATCTTCGGAAGGAAAGGCTTCTTACGACTTCATCTTTAAGACACATCAGAAGTCTTCAATATTTTGGCGGACCTCATATATCTAGATTATTGGTGTGCCACCTTCCAGGATCACATATTTTAAGCAAGAAATTGGGGACAGCTGAAAATCTCAGCTTTCATTTCCCCCAACCAAAATGCAAGATTCTAGTCCTTAAGACTTCAAAGACAAACATGAAAATGTATGGGACCTGCTTGGTAAAATCTCAAAGAGTTACATGGGAGGTTTGTGTTAGCAGAATTTCATGTTCTTTACCCACTCCTGATGATGAGCAGATATTACAGAGTTGAAATTGGTAGGGTTGTGAGCAAAGCACACAGGGCTGTAGCCAACATCAATCCTGCTCAGAGTAGACTCACTGAAATTAATGGATGTCCATTAATTTCAGTGGTTGCATGTCAAATAGAACTTAATTTTGAGACAATGTTGGTTGTGATGTACTACCAGATGGAGCTGGTAGACAGCTGCCCTGGACACAGAATTGACCTGCGCCTCTATGCACATCTGTGAGTCCAAAATGACTCCCAGGCTGCACAGTTGCCCCGTTCAGGACCAGGGAGTCCCCCATATCCACTCCCGTACCCCCAAGACAGTACTTCTGTCTTGTCAGTATTCAACCTCAATCCATTAGCCGCCATCCATCCTCCAGCCGCCTCCAGACACTCACACAGGACGTTCACCACCTTCACTAGTTCTGATTTAAAAGAGAGGTAGAGCTGGATATCATCCGCATACTGATGAACACCCAGAACAGACCCCCTGATGATTGCTCCCAGTGGCTTCATATATATATTAAAAAGCATGTGGGAGAGGATGGAACCCTGAGGCACCCCACAAGTGAGAGCCCAAGGGTCTGAACACTCATCCCCCAACACCACATTCCTGGCCCTTCCTGGAGCTGCCAGGGTTTAAACCTGGGACCTCTTGCATGCAAGACAGATACTCTACCAGTGAGTTAATGCAGGAGAGAGAATTAGTATTTCTTCTTGGGTCGCCGTTAGTGTACAACTCCATCCCCTGTCCCCACCCCAAAGAGATTTGTTGATGTTCTGCTTCTCCAGCCATAAGAAGGAACCAGGAGAAGACTATGTTAGCAGGTGCCATATTAAAGATCTCAGAGTCCTGGAAAGTTTCATGTCTTCTCTGCTTGCCTTTGGTGAAAATGATAAATTCATACATAATGGAGCTGCAGTTTCAGGAACTGTTATTCTGAATAGACCTCTAGCTAAGATAATATTTTACAATATACAGGAACTCTGAAGAATGGTGTATTCATTATTTATATGACAGCTAACCATGGATTCATGACATCCCCCTCCCCTTGTAACACTGTCTACTCTGACACAGTACAGAACTTCTTTTAGTTTGTCACTGTAGGGCATAATTTCAGCTGCCTCTTGTCTGCCTCCCTGCGTACGTATGTGTGAAAGAGAGACTCCCTAATGAGGTATTTCTCCCTTCGTAGATCAATTGTTTGCATGGGCCAACACAGCGAAGCAATGTGAACCTTATATAAAAAAAGCATAAAGAACTCGAAACAAATCTGCTTAATGTTTGATTTTACAAGTTAACTAGAGTTGCTGCGAGGACCCTGTGTTGTGTTTGACAGATAATGTATCGCTTACAAGAGGAATTACTGGGACAGAACAGAGAACTGCATCTTTAAAAAGGTATTGCCTCTCAGCTCTTTTGCTCAGCGTGGGTTTTCTTAGTTAAGGAGAAATGAGAAACTTCTGACATTCTCCTGTGCATTTGGCCTTTGTGTGCGGAGAGTAGCAAATTATCTCTGACAAAATAGAAAATAATGCGCCCAAACGCGACGTTGTTGCTAACAGAGTACATTTTTTTTAAGGAAATAAAACAAGCCGTTGAAAAAGTGGCAAACAAATGAAGGTACCTATGTAATGCTCTAGTTTGCTTTGTTTTGCATTGAACAAAAGGTTACTTAGAATACGTCTAAACTGACATGGATTCACCCTTGGGCTCTCAGTAGACCAATGCTACATAAACTGTATCTTAGGGGCAGTGCATTTGCTTTTCAGGCAGAAGTTCCAAGGTTCAGTCCCTGCCATCTCCAGGGAAAGCTGGGAATGTTCCCTGTCTGAAACCCTGGAGAGTCACTGCAGTTGTAGCTCTTGTGGCTAGTAGCTCTTGTGGCTAGTAACCAGGGATAGCCTTATTTTCCATAAATTGGTCTAACTTGTGTAAAGGCACCCAAGTAGGGGGCCATCACTGTTTCTCATGGGAGTGTATTCCCTAATTTAATTATGTGTGGTGTGACCTACAGTCGTACCTCAGAAGTTGGACGGAATACGTTCTAGAAGTCCGTTCAACCCTCAAAATGTTCAGAAACCATATTGTGGCTTCTGATTGGTTGCGGGAAGCTCCTGCAGCCAATTGGAAGCCACGGAAGCCCCGTCGGACGTTCGGCTTCCAAAAATAGTTCACAAACCAGAATAGTCACTTCCGGGTTTGCGATGTTTGGGAGCCAAAACGTTCAGCAACTAAGCTGTTTGAAAACCAAGGTGCGACTTGACTTTCTACTCTGGAGGTCAAGATTGTGTATGTTTTTCTTCTTTCTGTTTTTTTTTAAACATTTGGAGCTGTTCTTTGTGGTAGGCTAGGTTACCATCAGGCCACCTCTCCCCTCAACTGTCATCTGGGGGAAGCCATTCTAGTTGCCTTAATGGGAGAGAGAGTGAGCAGCTCTCACCAGCTTTGCTGGAGGCCCAGCTCCATCCGGTACCTCCCCCCCCAAACTGTGTCAGCTGGTCACCACAGAAACATCTGGTGGAGGAAATTGGTGCTCAAGCTTTGATTTTGCTCTTTCCTCACTGTCCCTTGTCCCTTGGCTTGTCATTTTATTATTATTGTTATTTTGCTCAAATAAAATAAAAACATAAGCAGCATGTCTTGTCAATAGATTGCAGGAAGAATTATACTGACTCAGTATAAGGAATAATAATAATAATAATAATAATAATAATAATAATAATTTATTATTTATACCCCGCCCATCTGGCTGGGCTTCCCCAGCCACTCTGGGTGGCTTCCAACAGAATATTAAAATACAATAACCTATTAAACATTAAAAGCTTCCCTAAACAGGTCTGCCTTCAGATGTCTTCTAAAAGTCTGGTAGTTGTTGTTCTCTTTGACATCTGGTGGGAGGGTTTCCACAGGGCGGGTGCCACTACTGAGAAGGCCCTCTGCCTGGTTTCCTGTAACTTGGCTTCTTGCAGTGAGGGAACCACCAGAATGCCCTCGGCACTGGACCTCAGTGTCCGGGCAGAACAATGGGGGTGGAGACGCTCCCTCAGGTATACTGGACCAAGGCTGTTTAGGGCTTTAAAGGAAGCTTCCTATGTTCCTATGTCCCTATAGCACATTAGAACTGTTCAAAACTGTTCTAATGCCATGCTACATACCTTGCTCCCATTTAATTTGGAATTTCTTTATTTCTGTTATTTATTAAAGGCCTCAATCCCACCCCAACCTACTCTCATCTTTACATTCTTCCTCCCAAACTAGCTTTTGGACAAGCTGTTTTCCTTTTTCAAATTTAATGCAGCTTGGGGACTCACCCCCAAAGAAACAATCCCCATGGAAACTGCAATGCACAGACATGTCACTACAGAGTTCATATTACGCATTTATTTCTAAAAAACAAAACCAAAACCCCTCAAAAAATGCCTTGTTCATTGTTCTTCCTTCCCTGTCTCTGCCGTCCCTTTGTCTAAATGAGATCGGATGCCCTTCAGGGCAAAGATTCATCTCTTTTATGTTTGTAGAGTTCTCCAGGGCTAGGGCCATAAACAATAATAATCTGTTAGAAACAACTCAGAACTCACATTAACCCAACTCACATTACCTAAAGGGGAGCACTGGAAATGCAGAAAGCCATGAATGGGCTGGTTTTCAGAGCTGCTATGCTACCAGAGAAGTACCTGGGATCAGAGCAGTATCAGGCTTATTGAGCTGCCACTGCCAACAGAAGGGCAGAAATGATGGTAGCTGCCAATGTTGGGCCTTTGCAATACTGGGGTCACTAAAGCTTACCTGGCTGGGGCTGGACAGGGGCAAGGCTGGGGCTGTGCAGATGCATTGATGGAAGCGTCAGATTGACTCCACTGATGCGTCCACGTAGCTCTGGCCTACCTGTGAACTGACCAGAAAAACTGCGACATCCTGTTTTTCCGCATGAGAGGATGGCAGCCATTTTGGGTTCCTTACTCTCACATGATTTTGGGCTGAGATCTCGCACCGAAAACACAACCTTTTTCAGGTCCGTAATCTCATACAGTGCCCCCCCCAAAGTGCTTTTCCTGTGATCTGTGATCTCACACAGGTCACGTGATTCACAGGGTATTTCGAACCCTGAAGATAGTGTCCTGGATTGGGGCCATGCCACCTTGGAGGGTATGCTCTGAGCTCACTGACAACGCGCCATGCTACATCCAAGGAAGCCGCAGCGACACCAGGGTCAGGAAGGTGGCTCTATCCCCACACAACAGCTGTGGCTGAGTGGTGCCACTGCTATGACTGCTACTGGTGTTTGCCTGCTCGCCTTAAGTTGGCGTGTAAGTGCTATTTGCTGGGAAATGCTTATGGTACCGGTCTCCACCCCCATCGTTCAGGTCAGACACCGAGGTCCAACTCTGAGGGCCTTCTGGTGGTTCCTTTACTGTGAGAAGTAAGGTTACAGGGGACTAGACAGAGGGCCTTCTTGGTGGTGGCGCCTGCCCTGTGGAATGTCCTCCCATCAAATGTCAAGGAAATAAACAACTATCTGACTTTTAGAAGACATCTGAAGGCAGCCCTGTTTAGGGAAGTTTTTAATGTTTGATGTTTTATCGTGCTTTTAATATTCTGTTGGGAGCCACCCAGCGTAGCTGGGGAAACCCTTCCAGATGGGCAGGGTATAAATAAATTATTATTATTATTATTATTATTATTATTATTATTGCTTCGCCAAAAGCTTGGTTTTAAATGTTATAAGATATAAAGGTATAACAACGGATGGGTAATACAAATAGATAACATGAATGCTGGGTTTATGCAAAGTGTTTGAAATATTGTTCTTTGGCATATATTTGCCATGTTTGCCATGCTATTAGGAGACCCCTATTCCCCTCAAAGAGCTACAGTTTAACAATCAACTCTTCTTCCCAGGGAACACAGGGAATTGCAGTAGTTAGGGTCTCCTGAGAGCTGGACCATAAAGAAGGCTGATCGCCGAAGAATTGATGCTTTTGAATTAAGGTGCTGTTGAGAGTCCCATGGACTGCAAGAAGATCAAACCTATCCATTCTAAAGGAAATCAGCCCTGAGTGCTCACTGGAAGGACAGATCCTGAAGCTGAGGCTCCAAAACTTTGGCCACCTCATGAGAAGAGAAGACTCCCTGGAAAAGACCCCGATGTTGGGAAAGATGGGGGGGGGCACAAGGAGAAGGGGACGATAGAGGACAAGATGGTTGGACAGTGTTCTCAAAGCTACCAGCATGAGTTTGAACAAACTGCAGGAGGCAGTGAAAGACAGGAGTGCCTGGCGTGCTCTGGTCCATGGGGTCACGAAGAGTCGGACACGACTAAACGACTAAACAACAACAACTACTCTTAGCACTGTCTGTGAGCTTTTAGAGACATTTTGATGGCTGCTGTTGCCAGAAGCGTGCTGGAGTAGCTGGACCTTAGCCTGATCTAACAAGGTTTGAGTGGTGACATTCAAAATTGCAATTGTGCTCATGTGGTGGTGGTCAGCCTATTTGTCAAGTGCACTGCAAGCTGAATCCTTGCCTATTTCTCAAGCGGAATCTTTCCCTGCTTTGTCTAGTGCACTGAGCACTGAATTAGACAGCCGTCCTGCAGTAAGCTCTACAGTACATATGCTGCCCCAAATGCCTCAGGGTAGGCTTGTCTCTAGTCTGTGGAGCAGTGAAGCCAGGAGTGGTCTTACAGCAC